AGGGGGGTGGGACCTGCGAGGGAGGGGCGCACACCTGAGCACACCTGAGAATCCCCCCTGGGCCCACCTGAGCACCCCCTAGACCCCGCTCCAGCCCCACACCTGAGCGCACCTGAGCCCACCGCCCCTCCCGCTCCCGCCTCCCACCCCACAGTCCCCCCCCGCCTCACCTGCGCCCGCCTGCGCCTCACCTGTGCACACCACGCCCGCGTCCTCGCCGTGGTTGCAGTCGTGCTCGCCCCAGGTGTGCAGCTGGCACTGCGCCAGCTCCTCCTCCCTACCTGTGCAGTGGGCGCCGTCCAGCCAGATGGGGTCCTCCCCCCGGCCGAAGTGGGCGTGGCCGGGCGCGGCCAGGGCGTGGCCGCAGCCCAGCTGGCGGCAGATCACCTGCGCGTCCTGCAGGTCCCAGGTGTCGTCGCAGACGGTTCCCCACTTGTGCTCGCGGAACAGCTCCACCCGCCCCGCGCAGGCGCTGGAGCCGTTGGCCAGGCGCACCTGCAGCCGCGACGCCGCCTCCGCACCTGCGGGGCCGGACAGGTGTGGCGCACCTGGGCGGGGCTCCGGGTGGGAAAAGGGGTTCTGGGGCCGGCAGGTGAGCATTGGGGAGGGCTTTGGGGGTCGACGGGTGGCGCCGGGAGGGTCTTGGGCTCGGGTGTGAGCAGGTGTGGTTCCAGGTGGGTTTAGGTTGGTGGTGGGGTGGAGAAAGGTGTTCTGAGGCCGACAGGTGAGTCTGGGAGGGTCCTGGGGCCGACAGGTGACTGTGAGATGGTTTTGGGGTCAACAGGTGAGTCTGGGGCTGTGCTGGGGTCAACAGGTGAGTATTGGGAGGGTTTTGGGGTCAACGGGTGAGTATTGGGAGGGTTTGGGGTCAACAGGTGAGTATTGGGAGGGTTTGGGATCAAACAGGTGAGTATTGAAAGGGTTTGGGGTCAAGAGGTGACCGCGGGAAGGTTTTGAGGTCGACAGGTGAGTATAGGAGGGTCTCGGGGTCGACAGGTGACTGTGGGAGGGTTTTGGGGTCAACAGGTGAGTCTGGGAGGGTCCTGGGCTCAGGTGTGGTCACAGGTAGGTCCAACCAGGTAAACCTCCCCCCTTCCCCACCTCCCTCAGCGCCCTACCCGCCCCTCCCCAAGCCCCGCCCACCTCACCTGCGCACACCACGCCCACGTCGGCGCCGTGCTCACAGCTGGCCTCTCCCCAGGGCCCCACCTGGCACTCGCCCAGGTGGTCCTCGGTGCCCGTGCAGGTGACCCGGTCCAGCCACACCGGCCCCTCCCCCTGCCCGAAGTGGGCCCCGCCCGGTGCCGACAGGGCGGGGCCACAGCCCACCTGGCGACAGACCACCTGAGCCTCGGCCAGGCCCCAGGTGTGGCCGCAGAGCGTCCCCCACCTGTGCAGGTAAAGCACCTCCACGCGCCCCGCGCAGCGCCCGGGGCCGCCCGCCAGGCGCAGCGGGACAGGTGAGGGCGGGGCCAGGGCGGGACCTGGGTGGGCGGGGAGAGAACAAGAGGAGAGTCAGGACAGGTGTGGAGGGGGTCAGCTGTGTCTCAGGTGTGACCCTGAAGTCCAGGTGTGACCCCAGGGACAGGTGTGACCTCAGGAACAGGTGTGACCCCAAAGTCCAGGTGCCTCCCAATGTCCAGGTGTGTCCCCACCTCACCTGTCCCCACCCCACCTGTCCCTCCCAGGTGTGTCCCCCCCACTCACCGCTCAGGGACAGGTAGAGGAGCAGCCCCAGGTGGCTCTGCAGGTAAAGGAGCCTCATGTTGGGCATGCACACCTGGGCACAGGTGAGGTCCCAGCAGGGGCTGAGGTGGGCACAGGTGTGGCCTGCACAGGTGAGAACGTATGTCCAGAGCAGGTGACGTCACAGGTGAGAAGGTGTGTCCTGCACAGATGAGAAGGTGTGTTCTGGACAGGTGAGTGCCCCCCCAACACCTGAGGACCCCCAGTCACACCTGAGTCCCCCCAACACACCTGAGGACCCCCAGACACACCTATGCCCCCCCCCCAGTGCTTTAAGGACCTGCCACGTCTGAGTTCCCCCCACACCTGAGCCCCCCCAGACACACCTGGGGGCCCCCAGACACACCTGAGCTCCCCACCCCCAGCGGTTTTAGGGACCCCCAGACACACCTGAGCCCCCCAGGTGGGATTTACCTGCCCCCCCGAAGCAGGTGCGGCCCCCTCAGGTGCCCCCTCCACGTGCCGGGGGTGAGGGAGGGGGAATCTCTGGACCCTCCTGGGTTCGTCCCGTTTTTTTTTTTTTCGAAAAGCGGCGGACGCACCCCCGGGGGCACCGGGGGGGGGGGGGGGGGGGGGGAGGGGTCACCTGCACACCTGGCGCAGGTCCAGGGTGGGAGGGGCCGCCCCAGTTCGCCCTCCCAGTTGGATGCCGGGACCCCTCCCCTCCCCCCCATCCGGGACCGGCTCACCTGGGCCGGGATGGGGGGCTCAGGTGGCTCAGGTGGGCACCCCAGGGGGGACCCCCTCACCTGGAGGGGGGCGGCGCTGAGGACCCTCCTGGCCGTGACGTACCTGTGTGGTGAGTGACGTCATGGGGGGGCCGGGGACCCAAACTGGGGGATTCTGACCCAAAATTGAAGGATTTTGACCCAAAATTGAAGGGGTTTGGTTCAAAACAGAAGGATTTTGGCCCCAGATTAAAGGGGGTTGACCCGGGATTAAAGGATTTTGACCCAAAACTGGAGGGGTTTGACTGAAAATTGAAGGATTTTGACTCAAAATTGGATTTTACCTCAAAATCAACATATTTTGCCCCCAAATCAACATATTTTGACCGAAAATTGACATCTTGCCCCATGTCAAAGAATTCTACTCCAAAATCAGCATCTTTTGCCCCAAATTGTTTTGCCCCAAAATCAAGACATTTTACCCCCAAATCAACATATTTCACCCCCAAATCGACATTTTGTGCCCAAAATTCGCTGAGTTTTCCCCCAAAACCAACATTCCCCCCTCCCCCCTCCCTTAAAAACCCATGAAGAACGTGATTTTCCACCATTTCTCCCTAGTTGTTTTTTTTCCCCAGGAATTCCTGGGCTCGGGGCCAAATTCCCCCTTTTCGGCCCCGCATCGATTTTTTGGGGGCAAAAGTCGCGATTTTGGGTCATCTCGGTTTGTCTGGGGACCCGGCTGAGCCCGGTCACGTGATTTCCCAGCCCCGGGACCTTCAACTCCAACAGTTTTTCCCGATATTCCCAAGTTTTCCACACTATTCCCCACTTTTTCCCCAATTTCCCCCCGTTTGTCCCCGATTTTCTTCTTTCACTTTTTTTCCCCTTTTCCCGTTTTTTTTCTCCGCTTTTCCCAATTTCCCCCTTTTGGGGGGGTCTCCCTGCGCCCCTGAGCTCACCTGTTCCCTTTACCTGTCCCAGGTGTGTCCCCGTCCCCCCCGGGGGTCTCCGTGCGCCTCCAGGGGGGTCCCGACGGCTGCTCGGGGCGGGTCGAGGTGCTGCACAACCTCACCTGGGGCACCGTGTGCGACGACGGCTGGGGCGTGGCCGAGGGCGAGGTCACCTGCGCCCAGGTGGGCTGCGGGCGGCTGCGGGCGCTCGCCCCCGGCGCCAGGTACGGCGAGGGGGAGGGGCCCATCTGGCTGGACGAGGTGAAGTGCGCGGGGCACGAGGGGCACCTGGGGCAGTGCCGGGCGCGGCCCTGGGGGCTCCACAACTGCGGCCACGGCGAGGACGTGGGTGTTGAGTGCACAGGTGAGGGGCCGCCCGCCCGCGCTTCCCGCCCTTCTCCTCCCTCTGCCCCGTTTTCCCCCGCTTTTCCTCCATTTTCCCCCGGTTTTCCCTGATTCCCCCTGATCTTCCTCGATTTCCCCTCGTCCCACTTGTCTCACCTGTTCAGGACATTTCTCCCCCGTTTCTCCCCTTTTTACCCCATTTCTCCCCCTTTTCCCCCCC